TTTAAACATGGAACCAAACAGGGAGAAGAAATGATATGTGAAAATAATTGATGGATTTGTGGTAAAAATGAGGACAATGAGAAGCTACCTGACAGATTAGTCAATTATAATCTGCTAGCTGTGGCAGAGTGAAACTCTTGTCTTTTTCCCAGAGCTGTGTGTGATGCTGAACACACATGTGAATTGCTCAGGGCAACAGCAATGTACTGAAGAATTTGATCCTGTAGAATCTCTGAATTTGTTAGAAAACTTTTTGGTTTTTCTGGTTTAACCTGAGAGCAGAAGTCTCATTGCAAATTGGCAGTTCCAGTACCCTTCAGCACTTACTGCAGGGCCTGGTCTTCTGTAATCAAAATAGAAAGCAGTTACTTGTTACACTAAGATTTTGTTCCCCTCAAAGTAATTTGCCAGCTATGTTGAGTCTTGGTTGCAGTGGTCAGAAGATAACATAAAACATCTTTTGCAGGCTGTTTAGAGGCAGAGACAGCCCGTGCTGATGATGTGATGACGATGCTCACCCACATGGCCACGGTGACCGGCATGAAAGCTGCTTACACACATTCTTGCCGGGGAGCAGCTGTGGCAAGTCCATTCATCATTGCTGGGGGGATGCTGTTAGGCGCAGTTGGAATTTTTATTGGTAAGTGTGCTTGGCTTTAGGAACAGGAGAGTGGTTAAATCCCTGAGGGAAGAAATGAGCTGGTGTGGGTTGAAGGAAAGGGGCATTCAGGGCTGAGATTTCCTGCTGTCATGAGGGGGAGGGTGAATAAGCCTTACAATGGGGCAGGGTCATTTCTCACTAAAAATGATGCTTATTTTTGTCTGTTAAAAGCTCCTGATATCCATGTCCTGATGAACTTGGAGTTTTTCCCACTGGGATTCATTTTTCCCTGTTGCTTCGATTTTCTTCTTGTTAAGGACAGAGAAAAGCCAAAGTCTAATAGTACAGAATTGTTTCTCCTCTGTAAGAATGGAATTAAGAGTTGAATAGTTTGAAAGCTGCCTTGTTGCTGAAGGCATGTGGGCCCTGGCCCAGGAATGTTCAATGTCCTGTGAGCAGTTGCAGGAATTGCACAGGCTTACTGATGCTGGAGTGAATTGCAGTGTGCCTCCATCAGGGTGAGTTACAAAAACTACGCAATAATTTGTGAGCAGTGATAACAGAAAATGCAAATTGAAGCTGTGTATTTACTCCTAGTGCAGGTACAAAACTTAATAGCCAGAATAGTATGTTGACACATGTATGACTGGAGTTATCAGGAACAAAGAAGGGAAATTAAGCTTTTGTAAGGAATTAGTAAGCTTAAAATCTGAAGTAAAGGTAATAATGTAAGTGGGCTCATTCTTGAGTCAGATGAAGAGAAACACTCAAGTTATTAATGGATGCATTTTCTCTTTTAAGTGTTTGTTTAAGCTTCATTATTTCTCCTAGTCAAGCTTGGTGTTCTTCCACCACTGAGGAAGGTATTGGAACAAGTATAACTTTTATTTTGAAAGTACACATTAATAAGCATAAATAATAGGAGTAATAAGTACTAACTAAACTATGAGCCACAGCTGCTGACAGTTATTTGTTTTCTTGGTAGGGGCTGCTTGTCCTAAAAGTGGTTAAATGCTTTTGTGATGTCTCTGTTGCAACTTGTTAGTGCATTGTCAAAATACCCTTTAATGGCCTGTGGTGTGTGATAAATAAATACCTGATAATTGAAAATTGCCTGATTGATCATCTTGATTCTTAATTGGAACATAATTGAGTTTTTCAAGAAATTCCTAATTCCATGTGCCAATTGTAGGAATCTGGTAATTCTTTACATGTTCTAAACATAAAGGTTTATGTTTCAGTGGCTCCCACTTGTACTCTGTATGTACAGTTTAAAAAAAAAAACCAACTTGTATGTGCTCTGCCTCAGGTACTGTGTTCATTAATGCTCTCTGCAGGACATAAATTATAGTGGATATGATGAGATCCTGGAAATACTTCTAACAGTGTAGAGAAAGTTAGATCCTGTAGAATCTCTGAATTTGTTATAAACCCATTCTTTTTCTGGCTTAACCCGTGAGCAGAAATCTCATTGCAAATTGGCATTTTCAGTAACCTTCCGCACTTACTGCATGGGGTGGTTTTCTGATAGTCAAAAGAGAAAGCAGTTACTAGTTACACTAGGGTTTTTTCCTACAAAAATTAATTTAGCAGCTAGGGTTAGTCTTGGTGGCAGTGGTCAGAAGATAACATAAAACATCTTTTGCAGGATGTTTAGAGGCAGAGGACACAGCCCGTCTTAATGATGTTATGGAGCTTCTCATCCACATTGCCACGGTGAAGAAAATCTACGCGGCTTTCAAACATTCTAAGCGGGGAGCTGCGGTCACTGGTGCATCTATGGTTGTTGGTGCGGCACTGCTTGGCCCAGTTGGGTTGGCTGTAGGTAAGTGTGCTTGGCTTTAGGAACAGGAGAGTGGTTAAATCCCTGAGGGAAGAAATGAGCTGGTGTGGGTTGAAGGAAAGGGGCATTCAGGGTTGAGATTTCCTGCTGCCATGAGGGGGAGGGTGAATAAGCCTTAGCATGGGGCAGGATCATTTCTCACTAAAAATGATGCTTATTTCTATATATTAAAGGTTCCTGATATCCATGTCCTGATGAACTTGGGGGTTTTCCCACTGGGATTCATTATTCCCTGTCACTTGCTTTTCTTCTTGTTAAGGACAGTTACAGAAAAGCCAAAGTCTAATAGTACAGAATTGTTTCTCCTCTGTAAGAATGGAATTAAGAGTTGAATAGTTTGAAAGCTGCCTTGTTGCTGAAGGCATGTGGGCCCTGGCCCAGGAATGTTCAATGTCCTGTGAGCAGTTGCAGGAATTGCACAGGCTTACTGATGCTGGAGTGAATTGCAGTGTGCCTCCATCAGGGTGAGTTACAAAAACTACGCAATAATTTGTGAGCAGTGATAACAGAAAATGCAAATTGAAGCTGTGTATTTACTCCTAGTGCAGGTACAAAACTGAAGGCTGTGGATGGAATTCCAGGCTTTAACATTAACTGCTAAAGACTATTGATTTTTTTTTTTTTTTTGTTTCCTAGGAGGAGCACTGGGTGGTTTGGTTGGATGGATGGCTTCTAAAGATTTCAAGTCAGTCCCTCAGGTTTTAATGGAATTGTCTCCTGCTGAGAGGCAGAAACTCTGTGCTGAAGCCATGGCTGTTGTCAAGAACTTAGACTGGACTGATGCTGCTCAGCTGATTCAATTTGTAACCACAAGTTCTATTATCAGAGACAAGGTATTAGGAGTGCTAGCCACTTACGTTACCAAGAAGCTAAAGGCAAAACTAAAGTATAGAAAGTAATTTTCTGCAGAGTAGGATTTTTATGCTGAATTGCCTTATACTCCCATGTTTGTGAATCTTCAATGCAACAAATTCTAGTTATCAGTACTAATTACAAATATATGCTGATCTAAGAAATTTTGGGGTATTTGGGTTATGTGTTTAGGGGTTTTTTAATTTTATCATTATTGTTAAAATAACAATAAATTGATAATAATTAATTTTTATGGATTTGTAAACATATTATTAGGTTACTGCATTATCCTTGCACCGACTTGCTATGAAATTTTCGATTGCTCTGCACTAGGACCAATTCAAATTGCTGAAGGGAATCATGCTGCT